ACCCTGGTCAACCTTCGACATCGATGCTAAAATCCAATGTTCACGCCAAGAAGGTTTTGCTCTGTATCTGGTGGGATTGGAAAGATGTGTTGTATTACGAGTTGTTACAACCGGGTGAAACAATCACGGCAGACCGCTACCAACAACAATTGACCAATTTGAGCGATGCATTAGAAGAAAAGAGTTTACTGGCCAAGAGTTTACTGGCTTTACGTCGTAAAGTGATCTTGCTTCATGACAATGCTCGACCACATGTTGCGAAAACGACTCAGGACTATCTTTGCGTTAGGCTGGGAACTTCTCCCGTACGCGGCGTATAGCCCAGACATGGCGCCTTCCGATTACTACCTATTCCGGTCGCTGCATCATTTGGCTGATACACATTTCGTGAGATTTCGTGAGAAGAAATACGAAAATGCATTGATGACTTTATCGCTTCGAAACCAGAGCTTCTATCGTCAAGGAATTCGCAAACTATCCGAAAGATGGCAAAAGGTCGTTGCAAACGGGGAATATTTCGCTGATTAATATTTTTTTGTTTGTTTTTGAATAAAGATTGAATTTTACAAAAAAAAGCTCAGAACTTTTTTGTACACCTAATATGATCGTGTGTACAATATTGTCGTGTGTGCAATATTATCGTACGTGCAATGCGATGTGTGCAATACGGTCGTGTGTGCAATATGCTGTACGCAAATGAAGCTGTAATCAATCGGGAATGTAGGCAAACAAAGCTGTTCCGGTTCTATTGTAAAATTAACAAAAATACATTATTATATAAAATTATAAATATATTTGCATATATATATATATATAATATATAAATATATTTGCAACACTTTTACAGAGTAATGTAACCATATAAGTTTGTAGTTTATTTTATTAAATAGTGCCGTTAAATCGTGACAACTATTTTTTTAATAGTATAATTTATTTATTTATTTATTTTTTATTTCATATTAATAATTTAAATAACACAAATATTCATATATATATGTAGAAAAATGTTAGATGATAAAAGAATATATATATATTGAATAAAAAGATAACAATTTTATTTAATATGAGTTCAATGAAAAATAAAAGCTCATGCGAGAGAAAACAGTAAAAATTTCGAAGAAAAACAAAAACTATACACTAGAAACTATACACTATATCATTATTAAAATTGGTCGCTAAATCAACCCAATCAATATATCAAAAAAAGCTTATCTAAATGTCCGTATAACTTGTCACTTTCCTAATAATCAGTCCATCGGAAAATATAGTCTCTTATAACACTTTGAACTCTTATTCTTGTCTTTCTTCTAACGACAATTCTTTTATCTTTTAAATTTCTTTCGTCCTCTGTCTTACGTGGCTCTTTTCAGATTTAATTAAAATCGTTACGCGTGTTTATCTCGCACCGCGAATACACTTGCACACGCGACCGGCAGCGATTTATTATCGATCACTTGTCTAGAAACATTCTGATTGGCTCTGCATCAAGATCGATTTCTTCCATTCTCCTACATATATAAATATATAAATTCTAAAATCGAGTCATAAGATTTTTTAAAAATGTTTTTTTAAACATTTTTATAATTGTAAAAAAAACAAAAATCAAAATAAAAAAGTTTTTAATGAATTCTTTGCAATTATGATATGGTTTTTCGTAATACTACTTATTTATATTCATGGTGTAACGGTATGTTCCTGTGCGGTTAATTAGCGAGCGGTGCGGAGGTGGGGACATAGCTCGGAAGTGCTCGTCGGATGCCGGGTTCGGAAAAGAATCGTAAATACTCGGATTTTTAATTAAAATAAAATAAATAAATTTATTGTAAAGAAATTCGAAGCTAGTTTACATAAATGCTGTTGATCCTTCTCTAAAACATGACGCCGCTTCGCACATGTTCGCTTATATTTGAAAGATTCGCAGCGCGTTGCTAGGCGTTGCTAGGGCCCGCGTATTGCCAAGCGTTCGGACGCATGGGTTGCTAGGCAACCATAGACGCTTTTGCGACATGTGTTTTCGCGTACGTCGAGGAAAAGTCCGAGAACGCTCCGACTTTTCGTGTGTGAGGAGACGGGAATATCAAGAGTGCTCGGTATTCTTGTAAAAAGTCCGAGAACACTCCGACTTTTCGGACGGGAGGAAACGAGAATATCGTGAGCGCCCGGTATTTCGCAGAGGAAAAAGTCCGAGAACACTCCGTCTTTTCGGATGGGAAAGAAACGAGAATACTGAGAACGCTCGATATTCCATGGAAGAAAAACTCGAGAACACTCCGATTTTTCAGATAGGAATAGAACGTGAATACTGAGAACGCTTGATATTCAGAACGGGAAGATTCTCGTATCGTATCAGATCCGATCGGTATTTCGGAAACAGATGGGTCGGACAGGTTTGGTTGTTCTTTGTAAAATTCGCTGGGTTTATATTTTTGCGCTTACATGTCAACGCGATTTGTTAAATTCTTTTACAGAACATCTGATCTGTTACGCCGTCGCGTGACAGATCAGTCGCGCGCGTGTATCGCTGGGCCGCGGTCGGGGATGTCGGGTGGCTCCGGATAGCGCGTGCTTAATAACGGGGCATTACATATCCGTTACAATGGAAAAGGATTTATTGTAATTTATTCTATTTATTTATTTATTTTTTATTTATTATTATTTATTTTATTTTATTTATTATATTTATTATACTTATATTTTATTATTATTTATTATCAATTCTGTAATTAAAACCTAATTAGTGAATCAATTGATATAAAGAAATATATAATTGCTTTTATATATGCAACTATATATTTTTTTGGAAAACAATAATATGTGTTTATAAAATGTTTTTCATTACTCCAATTAATTTATTTTATTATTTTATATATAAAAAATTAAGATAAAATTAAAATGTTAATAAGTAAAAATTATAAACTATAAATGAATAAAATTATAAAAAACTTAATATTTTACACGATATTTTATATTTTATAATGTCAAAATATAGTATAAAAAAGTATAAATACTTTTCAAAAGATTGATTTCCTTATTATTTTATCTTAGTACTTTAAATGTAGAATAATTAGAGGATTCATGTTATATAAAAGAATCTTATTTAAAAATAATGATATTCTTTATTAGATTTTTTTTCCAGAAGATTTCTATAAGTACACTGTACCTATATTGCTCATCATTTCTATTATTTCTACTTTATCACTCTTTCGGGCATCCATTTCATAATAATCTTCTTCTACAAAATTAATAATATGCATTTCTAATTTATAAGTTCCATTCGCAATAACTTTATTGAATTTGTCGTTATGTATATTGCTTATATATTCTTCTTTATTTATCCTTCTAGCACTATACGCACGCGCGCGCGCGCGCGCGCGCGCTACGTAC